TAGCATAGTATAGTATAGTATAGTATAGTATAGTATAGTATAGTATAGTACAGTACAGTACAGTACAGTACAGTACAGTACAGCATAGCATAGCATAGTATAGTATAGTATAGTATAGTATAGTATAGTATAGTATAGTACAGTACAGTACAGTATAGTATAGTATAGTTTAGTATTGTATATATTGACTTTATAGGACTATACTACACTATACTATACTATAGTCCTATAAATTCGCGTTTAGAAAGGGTTAAAAAGATTGTGCCTTTTCCAGAATCTTATTAAATTAAAGATAATAAAATGATATGACTGAAAAATGTTATTTTTTTAGGAACAAATACTTGTTAAGAGCATAAAGGTTCATGATTGACCTCACTAAATTAGAAATTTGGGGCCGTTTTGAGTGGACCCACCAGCTGTGGAAGGCCAGGATGTCCTATAAGGAGCAGCAGGGTTCAGAGGACTCTGAATATGTCGGTTAATAGACGGAGTTTGTGTTTCAGGCGGGCCCAGAAGAAGAGTTCCTGGGTCTAACCTGGCCAGAGTCTCCTTATCTGGGAGGTAACAGGTCCCCTTTGGGTCCTGATGGTGCTGATGGTGGTCTGATGGAGACGGATCACACTCATCTCCCCACAGACGAATCAGACTATAAGCACTTATATCTGAAGCTAATCAGAAGCTAATCAGAAGCTAATCAGAAGCTAATCAGAAGCTAATCAGAAGCTGAGATCTCTGCTGGATGGTCCCTGAAGCTAAAACTGAACCAGCAGGAATGTTCTCCCTCCAACATGCTGCTTCACGTCCCGTCTGTTTCTTTATCTACTAAAGAAACTGTTTCTTTATCAGAGGAGAAGTCGCAGCTCTTTCTCAGTATGAACGGACCTGTTCAGTTCATTCATTCATTCATTCATTCATTCATTCATTCATTCATTCATTCATTCATTCATTCATTCATTCAGTTGCTGGCTTTGCTGGATAACATGTCAAAGTGCGTTCAGAGACTCACTGGGTCTCATTCATACGTCGTTTTACAGTTTAATAACTAAATATTAATGTGAAGGCGTGAAACAGTCAGCAGAGAAACCAAACTGAGAAGAAATCCTTTTGTCTTCATAAATCCAAAAACAT